AGTACATTATTGTCATAATATTTGCCATATGTTTAATGTTTTGGTTAACTTGTGAAACCAAGATAATTTTCAATCAGTATCTTGTTGCTTTGAGGAGTTTATAATTAATTTCCTCTTTTTCCATTGTAATCTTGCTTAAATGTTATCAAGAATGTGAAATTCCTCTTGTATATATTCTAGGGCTGTCAGTTATGTAAGTGACGTTCTTAGGTAAGTAACTGAATCTCTGTTTCTATTTTCTCCACTAATATGGTGCCCAAGCCTGTGATATGTGAATTATTTGTGATGATTTCCAAGTGGCTATCAAACAGCAAACATTCTCTGTGTAATTTTTCTCCTTCAGTTTTCATTTTCTGATCAGAAAATTAATTTGTCATTGTAGGAATTCTTAAGTAATAGTTACTGGTTTCCAAATATTTAAATGTTGTCATAACATTCAGTTGTTTCTATTTATTTTTTATGATTACCTGTTTTCATCAATTTTAGAAAACTCATGAAAGTGTAACTTATATAAGAACCTAATATTAATAAGTGAGCTTATTACAAGCTATTTAACCTTCGAAGACACTATTCTGTTGAAGAATTGTTGATAAGTCATAGTTCCAAGTGAAAGATCAGGAAACTGAGGATCTCAGATTAGATTCAATAAAATAATTCATTGACGTGCATTTATATAAAATTCTTTTTTTTTTTTTGTACTGGTAATTGAACCCAGGGGCACTTAACCACTGAGTGACATTCCAAGCCCATTTTAAATTTTTAGTTAGAAACAGGGCCTTGCTAAGGTTTGAACTCACAATCCTTCTGCCTCATCCTCCCAGGCTGCTGTAACCATATGCATGCACCACCAAGCATGTCTGTATAAAATTTTTAGTCAATCCTAGTCATTTTAAAATGATTATTTGTTAATAAGATTATGGTAAATAGTTACATTTGCCTTCAAAATCTTCAGTTCTGTATTTTAATACTGCAATATTTTGGAGTCCTTTTGTGTCAAATCAATAGTTACTTTTGTTTATGGCCTGTAATATCTCTAGTAAAATGTTAACTAGTCATTTGATTTTCCCTATCCCAAACCCATGTGGGCTTATGATTGGTTCGTCTTCCTCTCTCCTGCCCACATTATTTCTCCTAAAATACAAATCACTGCACATAACCTTTAAGTTTTGCCATATTTTAAAGCTAACTCTGTAGTGGGCAGGTACAGAACAGTCATCTCTGCCTGAATTTCTCTGCCACTTATGAATTGTCTAATGCTATACTAACACTCCTTTTTTTTGTGCTTGGATCCTGTTACAATTTGGAATTGTCTAGTTTGCTATGGTATCCTATCACTTGAGATTGCACACTGGGGGAAGAAGGAAACAGAGCAGGAGCCACATCTTCAGATTACATGCCATGAAATCTGGCTGAAAAGGGTACATATCAATGGTTTTTTAAATTATTTATGCTGTTGCATAATTGTTAGACTCCATACCTTGAAACCATGTTTGCAAAACATTTTGGGAAAAGTATTACAAAAACACATTTCTTGATGCAATTGAGTTTAGATAGACCCAGAAGTAGGAGCAATAATGTTGTCATTAATGGACTTTGAATTTTGTAGAAATCCAACATAAGCAATATAAAAACCATTTTACTTAATTGCTTTTGGTAATAATAATAAATATTTTGAAAGAAAAAAGTGAAATGCTCACTGCTACACACTCTTATTTTATTGCAAAATAAAATTTAGATAATTCCCTGAATGAAACATTTTAAAATGCTTAAGAGAAATTGAGCAAATGTATTCCCATCAGAATTTATTAAATCTATAATTATGCAAAATTATCTTTAATTATGGTACATAGAGCATTGCATTTTCTTTATTCTCTAAGCATTTAGAGTCAAATAGGCATGGCTGACGTATATATATATGTGTGTGTGTATAGAAGTTTACTAAATAAAAAATGCCAAACTAATACTTAAATTGAGGTGACATTTTATTACATATTATATTTAATAGAAATAATTGGTCTAAGTCAGTATACACAGTAGTATCACAGAGAACATCAAGGTAAAATTAACTTGTTTTTAAGATATATTTTCTTTATTTTTAAAAGATAGAAAATGATTATTCTTGCTAAAAGAATCTTGATTCACCACTTCTTTTTGTTTTACATTCTTTTTTCATTGTGTTTGTCATTTGGTATTTACTCTATAAAATTTCATGAGTGGAAAGGACCCCATTTCCTTTGTGTGGTTGCATGAATTTGACATTTTGTAACAGAATTGCAGTGTCTGTCAATATGGAGTGTTGCTTTGCATAAATCTAAAATCCACTAACATCTGATCTGTTAGAGATGGCATGACGAATTCTGACTCACATCACTGAAGTGATCTCTTTATCCTTGGGATTAATTACCTAACCAAGGAGTGCCTCATTGATAATGTTTTTGCATTAATGTTTCCTTAATTGTAATGTGACCTTTAATTCTATGCTCAACTTTTCATCTACTCAGGAATATTTTTTTTTTCTGGATACATTTCAAATCTTTCTTCTTAAAGGACTATTTAAATTGTGTGCATCAGGTAGCCCCATGGTGCACGAACAGGTAGGACAATCTTGGAATTTGAATGACTGAATCTGTAGCTTCACCCCAGAACTTAAAATATGCATGTCTCTAAATCTTTTGTAATTCCTCTCAAATTTTAATCAGAAGATGAAGAAGATGTTAATATTATGATAGAAGTTTGCAAGGATGAAATGAACCTAATAGGTGCAAAGCACATTGAATAATCTAGACATAATTAAGTGATCAGTGTTTGAAAGCTGGTTTTTGTTGTTGTTGTTGTTGTTGTTGTTGTTGTTGTTATTGTTGTTAATTTTCATATCACCTCTACTGTTCCTGCATCCTCGTTGCCCTCCAACTACTTATGGCTTGATACCATTTCTTCCTTTTTAGGCTTCTTCTCTCATCATTCTTTTTCATGACTTTGCATTCTATCATAGGTTCATGGCTCAGCTCTGCCATATTCCTGTTTGTGGTTACTTTTGGGTTCTTTAGTGGTGTGTTTAAGATATTCATTCTGTTTCCTTATAGCTGCAAACGTATTCTGTTGGTTTATCCTCTATTTCAGCTATCCTTATTGAATTGTGTTCACTTTGATTTATTCTGCAGAATGATCAATTTGTGGAGCATTGTCTTCTGTTCTTCATGTTATGTGCCATTTAAAAGTTGGCATATTATTCTTATTGTCTCTATTTCCTACCTTCTTTGTCCCTCTCCTCTTTCCCTCTTTCCTCTCTTCAATCTGAGGTTTGTTTATATAGTTTTAATTGCATATACTTCTTGCTGACATTTCTTCTAACTATTTGGTTATTTTAACCCAGTTATGTCTATGTAGCATATCTTTTTCTAAAACATAAGTTTACTGATATAACATGGGTGGAATCTCCACAACCTCCTTCCCTTGATATTATAGACGTGCTGGTCTCTCAGCTTTGCAGTTGAGGGCTGAGCATATTCTATGACCCAGACTCCTAAGATTGAGCATTACCAGAGGTATTAGAAGGGATATCAGAGTAAATAAACAGGACTTGGCTGGGCTGATGATGGTCCTCAACATTTTAGTGTAATTCTATTAAATACCTCCTAAAAGGATTCCTCAGGACACAGTACTTGTGTGGGTAGAATATCTACAACATACTGCCCTGTTTTTGTAGGTTGTCTTGAGACATTATCTCCTCTTCCACTTGTTGCTAATATATAGATAGAGATAGAGATAGAGATTGACAGAGAGATGTGGCATATTTTTGCTACTTTCTTTATGAAATAATGATTGATTAAGAACAAACCATGGGAAGGGAGATTATGTGGCTTGTCTTTAACCGACCATTATTACCAGGAAGATAATTTAATCTTTTTAATCCACCAGATATCAACTATTGACAATGCAGAATTAAATCCTTCAAGAAACACATGAACATAGAGAAATTCTTTTACTATGATTTCATTTATTGATATGATTTGGAATAGCCTTCTAGAAATAATGATTTTAAAGTAAGCAGAATTCCAAAAATGAATTTTTCAACAACTTATCATACAGTTGAATATAGCTAGACTATTTGACACTCCAATAGTATAAGAACCTGAATAGCTTATATTCTGCAACTGAAAATACTGAATAAAAATCTAAGCACTGAATAATATATTACTTTAGTGATAGTATTGCATATTTTTCATGAAAACTGATTTGTTTTAATTATTGTAGGCAGAAATATATGGGTCAGTCTGTACAATCTGAGCAAAATCTTATTGTCTCTATTTTTCTACAGCCTACATTTTGATGTTGGTAAGGTAATGGTGTTTGAGAGTGAATATTCCAGATTTTCTATGTTCATAGACTGGAATTCTCTTGTGCACATGAAATTTTCCAATAATTTCCAATTTTGCTTCAAAATATATGCATTCTCAAGCTAAACTCAAAGATATAATTAGCTAAGCAAAAGATTAATGAGATTTTTTTAAAGACAAAGATTGCTTGCAGTACAAACTGTCTCTATGTAATTATAGTTTAATGTTTTGGTCAGGAGTGATTTTTAAAACAACAATTTAGTAGCAAATCATAACCCTTAATCAGTTTAGTTAGAGCTGATCTATAGAAGCAAATTTCCAGCTTCAAAATGTTAGGAATTTTCATGAGAAGAAAGCGTATTGATTCATCAGTGAAAATCCTCATTATTTTAATCACTGCTGTATAACAGGTTTGAAAGGGTAGCCATGACTCCACTCTGATACAAACACTGTTGATTAGATGGGTGCAAAGTAATCAAAGTTAAATAGGGTGGCAGGTAATTCTATTCGCTCCGCTTTCCAGAATGTATTATTGTACAAGGCACCACGGCTCCAATATGGCTTACATAATGCTTAGAGCATAATAATGATTTTAAGTGAGGACACTCTTGCATTCGGGTTTGATTTACTGTTTGAGCCAGAATAACTTCTCTTTGGATGTCTGGAACAGCAGGTTGTCCACTAATGTGCATAGCAATGAGTTCTATTTTTAAAAGGACTGTTTCTCAGCAAGTGATATGTTTCTCAAAAGATTCTACTGAAAACATTGTCTTGTGGAAAAATCCTTCATAAAATGCTTGTGTATTAACTCACAAACAACTAAACTGGGATGCTAAAATGATTGGATTTTGTTTCAAAATATATGACCTACATTGTAAAATTCCTTTTGAGAAGAATGAAAACTACAGTTACAAAATGAATGTTTGGTGTGGTTTTACTGCTAGGATTTGCTTAAACATTTACAAATCGAATTAGATGGATGAGAACTCTGTAAGTATACTGTATAATATTGTTTTATATTTTCAATGTGATAGTATCAAAATTAGTTTCTACAGATTGCAGTGAGAATTTGTCCTTTGGGGGAAGAGTTTGCATGCCTAAATTTTGTTTTCTTTCTGGCTTGATAATTGTGTTTGCCAAATTGCTAATGGAAGAAACAGTCTTTATGCAGAGCGCGCGCGCACGCACACACACACACACACACACACACACATATAAAAACTCAATTGGAGATACAAGTTAATCCTACTCTGCCATTCATGATGTTCTGTTGTTCTGAACTAAAATCATCTTGATTTAATTTTAATTTTTCTTTTTCACCTTACCTTCCTGTTTCCATTCTCTTCATCAATATATGCACCCACTTATATGTCAGGGAATACAACTGTATCATTGCAAACTGTCTAGAACTCACATCAGTATGTATGTTTAAGGTTAGGTATTGTGGTAGTTTCCTTCTAGATTCTTTCCTGCTTCTGATTTTTACAGCACTGTATTGTATTCTAAAGGGCTACATATTTTGTGACATTTCAGGGATGGTAGTTCATACACTTAACAGTTCATTGCATGGACACCTAACAATTAAAACTGATGGTAGAAATAGAAACTAAGTGATCACGTCTGCTTGGGGGTCACTGCTCACAGATAATCAGGGCTTTCAAATGAACATTCTGTAATATCGGTACACACTTCCAATTTGCATTACAGACATTTAGTTTGGTATGTACTAGCTCCCTGTTTTTCAGTTTTCTTTCTTAGTTAACCTGCTGATGAGTAGAATTCCTTATCCTTTATTATTTGAATTTTCCATCTCTTTTTAAAATCTTTTCTAACACTGAGTTTGTCAACAGAGGACATTCACTTCATTCGAAAGACTTTATATTTTATTTCATACATCAGTGACAGGCCCTGCTGATTCTATGCCTAGTGTGTGTAGCATCTCAGCATCTGTTTGTTCAAGAAAGAAGGTTCAAGAAGGAATATTCACCATTTCAAAGGATACTGGCCATTGCTGAAGCCATTACTTTTATTTAATAATAACAATTTTAAGTAGAAATTAAAGTTCTTTGTAATCTTCATTTTCAAAAGACAATGATTTCATCATAATGTTGAATTCAATCGTATGTTTTCCAACCTATGTTGATATGATATTGTGTAAATATTGCCTTTAATACATTTATATAGTGGACTTTATTCAGTGTTTTTCCAATGTTAGATCAACTTGCATTTCTGGGGATAAATACATTCCCAATCTTTTCAAAAATATGTTATTTTTAAAATACATGACCAGACTTTTCATATTATTTTTTACTGATATTTTTGAATCAATATAAATTGGTTAATTTGCTTGTTGTGTGCAATACTTATCAAATTTGGGTATTAAGGAGGGATAGGAAAGGGGAAGTATTTTGAACTAAAATGGAGCAAATTGTTCTATGTAGATATATAAAAATACCACAGTGAATTCTACTTTTATATGTATCTATAAAGCACCAATTTAAATAAATAAATGGAAGGGAGATCATAAGAGCAGCACAAGAGGAATGGGGGAAGAAAGGAAGGGAAGGAAAGGGAAAGAACAGGAGACAGAAGTGGAGCAAATTATATCCCACACATGCATGAATATATCAAAATGAGCCTTAATTTCATGTGGAACTATCATGCACTAAATAAAACATTTGGGCAGGGGTGGGTAATGTGTTTATATAAAGCAGATAAAAAATGAATTGGAGATTCTCTTTCTCTCTATCTATCTATCTATCTACATATCTCATCTATCATCTATCTGTCTCCCTATTCTCTATTTCTCTACCCTGGATTAGTTTAGATATGATTATATTTTGCTTCATAATTAATTTTATTAGTCACAGTATAGAAATCATCTATTTTAAAGTTTCCTTTGTAAGTAGGTTGAATATATGTTAGACATTCTCATTAGCATCAAATTGTCTTAAGCTTCATTGTGTATATTTCATTTTCTTACTATAATTCTTTCTGTGCAATTCTTTCAAATCTACCTTTCATTCAATTTTAATTGTTTTTCTTAATCTGTTACCAAACCCCACTTTATTCACTTTTGATTTCAATTTTTTTCTTATTTTAATTTGTAGATTTTTTTCTCCGAAAGTAATTCTTTTTTGTATATTTTATGTGTCAATTGCATTTTTTGAAGTATATGAGGAAAAGCCTGTTTTATATTCTGGTTCTGGTAATTGCAATTATATGCATATATATTAAGATTTTACAAGTCTACCTCCAAGGTCTCTTGTTTCTACTGGTATGTACATGCATTATCTCAGGTTCAGAACCGTGGAGATTTCTCCTATGTCACCTTCCCTCCTGTACATCCATCTGGGTCTCATCATATCACCCCCAGTGGGAGGTTGGGGAGTATGTAATCGATTTAAAATTGTTGTAAGTAATAACATTCTGCCTCATTCAGAAATCTTAGTTTTGCTTTTAGGTTAAACATGAATAAAATTTGATGTTTTTCATTGTGAACTATTTTTTTTTCTTAAAATTTTTTGAGGCTTGGGTAAAATGAGCTTTTACATATTTTTTTTCTTTCTGCATGTGTGTAAGAAATTTCTGTAGTGGGGTAACTATAGCAAATGGTTAAACAAAATAAATATTTTTGTGATTTTTCCTTAAATGGGAAAAAATTAGGAAAATAAAATACAGCATCTAATGGTGATCTATTAATATAAGCTATTATAAATATTCTTTTATCTTGAAATTTTTTTAGCCATCTTCTCATGATTAAGAGTGATCATTAAAAGTACTTTTAAATGTTTATCAAATGTCCAAATCATCTTCATATCATAATAAGTAAGAACAGATAATTTATTATGAACTATTATTGAAAAAATAATATTCTATCTGGGCAGGGTTGTTGCTCAGTGGTAGAGAGAGCTCTTGCCTACCTTGTATGAGGCTCTGGGTTCGATCCTCAGCACTACATTAAATAAATAAATAAATAGAATAAAGTTGTATTTGTCTATCTACAACTAAAATTTAAAAAAAATGTTTAAGAAATAATATTCAAGCTATAGTGGTTAAGAAGAAAATAAAAGCTATGTGACTTATAATCTAGTTGGGAATTAGGTAGTATGCCTATAAAAAAACAAACAAAAAAACCAACAAAATAAAAAAAAAGGGAAAGAAGAAAAACAACTTTCAAAAAAAAAACCTAAGCCTTAAAAAGGCCTTAAAGGTCTGAGTCTTGGAAAGAATATGAATATGATAGTGAAGTACTCACATTCTTTGTAAAATAATGTAATATTATCCAAAGGTAGAATGAAATAACTTAAAGATAAGTTTTCAATTTCAAGATAAGCTACTAGTATAAATAGAAGAAAACTTTAACTTACGAAAATGAAATATCAAAAAACACACAGTACTGAATATAAGTTAGAAAGAGAGAGAAAAAAACAACCAAAGGAGATAACTGTAAAGCAAACAATTACACAGATGCATAACCAAACTTATCTAAAATTGCATTAAATATAAAAGTATTTAATTATAATGAAATTAAGCAAAATAATTAAAATAAAAACAGTTGTTTAAACACACACAATAGCTATCCCTAATTGCAAATATGAAATTCTAATAAATTTAGAAAGACTTTAGGAAGAAAATGTCAAATTCTAACAAAATAGGAAGACACATTAAATAAAATGGAATACTGTGTCCTTTGAGATCAAAGGATAATGTCAATATTATGAAGCTCTCAAATCTAATTAAATGTATGGATAAATTTAATTCAAATTTATATCAGGTGTAAATTTATGTGCAAATGGTTTTAATGTATGAATGACGAAAATAAGATAGCTCATAGGAGTTTTCTTGCTAAAAATTATGAAATATCAGACATTTTATCCATCTTACAAAGAAACAGGTTAGCCTACTATAGCTTAAGATGTTGGCAGAGGATACAAGGATCCTGGTTTAGAAACAAAGGATGCTATCCTATTTATGTTGGAATGCTGGTGTCTTTCTGGCAGTTGTTTAAGCTCTGGTTCCCACAAGGTGTCACACAGATGGCCAGGTGACATGTGCTTAAGCAATTAGTTAATTATAGAAGAGGAAGGCTGAATTAAGGGAACAGAAAGACTTTATAATGGGCATTATGCTTGTTTTCCCTTTGTTCTGGAGAGAGCAGTATGCATGACTATCCTTGCTTCAGAGAGAGGACCATATCTCCATCTTTCTAAGGCTCCTTTATAGAAGCACTCTTTAAAAAGATAACCATAACATAAGGGTTGGAATTTACTCATACTTTAATTAAAAAAAAAAAGTAATTTAAGCCTTACAGAAAGTTACAGGAATGGTAAAAGTAAGTTCCTAGATTTTTAAACTTTCACTCTGATTTAACCTTTGATGAATTTAAACACTTTTCTTCCCTTGCTCTCTATCTCTTGTGACCATTTGATGGTATTGGAAGACATACTGTAGCACTCTGTTAATATTTTTTTTTAATAAAGCTGTACAGCCATTAAAATTATGGAATTAAATATTTATGCCATACATCATTCTAACACAGAGACTCTATTTAATTTCACCAGTTGTTAAAATAGTTTTTCATGGACCTATGGCCTAATTAGCACCACACAGATGTCTATTTGTCCTATTCTTGTCATCTACTTAAAAATATATTCTGATTATATCCATACTTCCATCTTTAGCAGGCTGGCCCATACCACCATCATTTTCCTAAAAACATTCTTCCCAATTTCAAGAACTTTTCTTCTGATACACACATATATTTACATGAAATATTCCCCAAATATTTGTGCCTTTTGTTTGAATAACAAATGTGTTGAATTTGGTAGGCAAATTTTAATTGAGTTCTTAATTATGTTGAATTATTTCAAAGTGATACAGATATTTTAAACAATGATATAATAAAACACATACCAAAAAAAAGTATTGACCATAGTCTGGATCCATACAAATATAAATAATTTTATTTTAAGTTTCTAAGGAAAAGA